GTGTCGCGGCCCCGGGCCCCTCCGGTGCCGCGGGAGGCCCCCGCTGCCGGCCCGGTGCGGGAGGCGGCTTCAGAGGGTGGGGGTCGGGGTGCAGGGGGCTCCACACAGCGCCTCTCCTTAGCGCACCGGGCTGTGCCACCTGGGTCCGGTCATTCGGACACGGGCGGTGTTTAACAGCTGTTTGAACAAAGTACATCACACCAACAACAACCTCCTGCCTTCAAGGTAGAAAGTACAAATTATTCAAAGCTCAGATAGCTTAGCATTTACTCAGGCCTATTTCAGGTTTCCGGTTCCAGTCATTCCGGAGTGAATTAGCCGAAGGGCCTGTCCCGGTGGCCATGGCCGTGGTGGCGGTGGTGGCGGTGGCCATGGTGGCCGTGGCCGTGGTGGCGGTGGCCGTGGTGGCCGTGGTGGCGGTGGTTCTCTGCCCCAGAGCCATGGATCCCAGTCAGTGTTGCTGTGACAGCGTCAGGGAGGGAAGCGGTCTCCATCGGAGGCCGGGCGGTGTTCTGTAGGTGCTTCAGCAACGCTTTAGACAAGGGAAACCCACACGTAGTGGCGCTCGTATTGCAGGGTCAGCCCCGACACGTTACCCCAGCACCAAACGGCTCTTGACAACGCCCTTCATTTTTGTCCTGAGTTACGTGAGGGACAATCACGGTTAGTGACTGTAGCTTACTGTTCTATTGTTTTCTGTGATGGACAGCTTTTTGAACAAGTTCCATAATTCTTTTGGGATTAAGGTAATTAAGATCACATCACTCCCACGTGTGTCCTTGTCATACGCTCTTCCTGTCAGAGGTTTATTCCGGTGTTAGTCATGACATCGTAACGATGGTATTTCTGATTGTGCCAGAGCTTATGCCATAGTGCCAGGAGGTGCAGCAGCTCTGGGCATGGCTTGCGGTACCTGCTCCGAGTCTCAGCGTGCCTCTAGGAGCAGCGGGGGAGCTGGCGGAGTAGACACAGTCTCCCAAAGTCCTACACGTGGCAGACTGTGATCCTTTGTCACTTGGTCACTCAGGCAACTTCCCGGTATGAATCCCACCTCTCCAATTCATGTCTGTCTGTGGGGGGAGTGTTGAGTTTCTCCAGAGTAACCCTCGGTGCGTACCTTGTGTGCTGCTCTGCTACAAAAACTGCAGTGGATGTAAGTTCTCTAGTATAAATGTGCAACTTCTGTCATACAGGCTATTACTTTTAGCGTTAGTTTGAATTCAGTGCTTTTTCTAGCGTAGGCAAACCTTTTTGGTGGCAAAGCTGTGCATGACTTTTTCAACAGCTGCTCCGTAAAAAAAAAAATAATTACAATGATATGGCTTTTTTTCAACCTTGCCTTGTCTTTTCCAGATAAGGTATAAAATGTTCTGAAGGATCCAAAGTCTTTCTAGATGTTTGTTGGTGTTTTTCGTTTGGTTTGGTTTTCTGTAAAAGAATGGCAGCAGCAACACAAAACTTAGCAAGATACCATGTTGTGATGTCTGTGGCTTGTGAAAACTTAAACAATATATTGCCTACTGGAGTTCTATACTGCCTTGCAATTCTGAAGTATGAATACACTGAGCAGTTCATTGCTCAGCTGTGTCACAGCCTCCCCCTCCCCTGTGCCGGGCAGTGCTCCTTCTGTGTTTCAGTTTCCTGGATGTTTTCAGGATCCTCTGGAAGCACTTTTTTCACTGTGTTGATCCCTGTCATTGCCCGACTTCTTCACTCTCCCAGGGGTGTGACTGTGTAACCGTGTCCCACAGCATGCTTATGTTCAAGAGCACACTTATCTACCACAACTTCAGTTTGAAATTACTTGTTGCCTCCCAGCTATGTAACTTTCTGTGATGTCCTTGTCTTCTGCAGTTTCCTGTAAAATTTCTGTGAGATTTTTGCACCATTATGATTAATTCAATTTTTTTAAATGTTATGAAATAAGTGACTGACCTCATCAGGCTTTTTTTTTTTCCATTCTACATTTTCACTTAAGAAGACTTTACTTAGTGTTTAGGCTAATTGTTTTTGCATGATATTGATTTCTTTCTAGAGTCTTTCTAGAAATTTATGCAATTAGATAATTTTCTCTTTTTTTTTTCCCAAACATTTCAGATATTCATAACTATTGAAGGATGAAAGAGAATAAAACAACCTTTAAAATCAAATTCAGACATGTTTTTGCACAGTATTAAGGCATTCTGCAAATAGCTGTAACAATAACATTTGTGTGCACTAAACTTTAAAAAAAAGCAAAGAAAGCACTTACAATGAAAAGGAATGAATTTGTGATAAGTAGTAGGAAGAAAAATACATTCAGATAGTCTGCTGAGTTCTATCCTACTTGGAGTTTAATAATAGTAATTAATAAGTGTCCGTGGCAGCAGGTTATTAACAGAAAGCAGACATGCGTCTGGGATGTTACCAAAATACTCTGATAGATGTGGGTTAATAGGTTGTTCTTAAAGCCTCACATCGTCTTGCATATTATATGCATAAAGCAAATTACAAGGGGCCAGCAGCTGGATGTTGGAACTGAATAGCCAGGATCTTCTGTCGACATCTCCCCTGTTCTTCCATTTAATTAGTACAGCTTTTTTCTTGTTTCTTTTGGTAATACGTGTTATGTGACACAGTCCTCTCTACTCCAATTTGAACATTTTGTGGATCATTTCATCAGAAGTAAGTGCGTGCATGGTAGGAGTATTTTCTCAGGAGAAAGAGGAAGCTGAGCTTTTTTTTTTGGTTCCTGGAGAGGACCGAGAAGTGGTGGTTTGGGTTGTCCTGGAAGCACACTCTTGTTTTCTCTTCTCTCATACTCTGACAATTGGCACAATTAAGGTAGTAGAGAATTTGGGACTTTTTTTAAAGCAGAATTTAGTGGTGAACAGAAAGAGTTTCAAGCTACTGCTCGTAAATTTGTTGTGGAGGAAATGATTCCTGTTGCTGCACAATATGACAAAACTGTAGAGGTAAATCTACCATAGTGTAAGGGGAAAAAAAGAGTTTTATCTTAACGTGGATACAATTTAAAGTGTTGATTGTGATGAATCAGAAGGTGATTTTCCCCTGTCTGTTTCAGTATCCTCTTCCACTTATAAAACAGGCGTAGGAACTTCGTCTTATGAATTCACACACACCAGAAAGCTGTGGTAAGTAAACATTCTTTTTAATCTGTGAAATGAAACAAAGAAAAGGCATTAGATGAGATTTATCCCTGTAATTATGGATTCTGTGTAAAATGAACAGTTGCATACTTGAATAATCTAAATTTAATCAGTAGGCAGGTTGACACATACAAGTGTTACTAGGTGTGGATGTAATCAGGAGACAAATTAGACAGATTATGATTTAGTAATTTATGACCAGATTTTCCTGCCGTGATTACAACTGCCTAATGTTTCCCTGGTGCACTGTGTCAGCTGATTAGGCAGAGAAATTAGAAGGTCATATTTTGTTCTAGTCTCCGACACAGGCTGGAGCAATTTAAGAGCTTATTCCAGAAGGACAGTTTTTCAGTTTAGATTAGATGCAGTACAGCAGTGCTTTGGCAGCATTTAGGCGTATCAGTAACCATGGAAAAAATGTTAAATTATTTTCTTTTTTGCATTTATGTTACCTGAAAAAGAAGTTAGGGAAGTGTCCATAGCAGACCCTTTTTTTTTGGAAGACTAATCAGAGGGTGTATCTTGTATCAAAAATTTAATAAATGAGGTTAAGGATCAAAGGGAGGAATTGTGAGGACTAGATTTATTCAGCCAGAAATTCTGGAGAAACTAAAGCCTGAAATAGCTGAACTATTGCAGTGTATAATCACTTGGTTATTAAATGAAAAATTACAAGTGGGAAATTGGACACCCTTGCTTTGAAATATCTCCAAGGGAGATCTGGGAAAATACATGCTAGTAAGCCTGATATACCTTGTAAATTAAGAGGAGGTAAGATGAAGTACAGAAATAGTGGACACAGGCAAACATGATAGGCTAGAGAAGGGTTTTTGTGAAAAGAAGTCATGCCATGTGAAATCATTGGAATTCTCTGAAGCTGCTAATAAGTGTGTGAAAAAGGGATGCCTGGCTGCTATGTAATGCTTGAACTTCCAATATTAGTTTTAAAAATCACAGATTTCATAGTGGAAAAATTAGCAGAACAGCCTTGCTGAGTTCCGTGCTGGTTGGAATATCTATTAATAAACTGGAGAAAGGGGTCAATTCTGAGGTGATAGAGTTTACTGATCCAAATTGCTTGAATCCAAATTGTACTTGCCTCTTTAATTCATTATGTAGTCAGATCCTTCCATCTCAAAAGAGTACGGTGGAAAAGGAGAAGGTTCCTAAAAAGATGACAAAGATTATAAAAGATGTATCTTTTGTGTGAGATGTAGCTTCTGTACGAGAAACGACAAAAATCTCAGTGTTGTGGAGAGTGTAAAAGGGGAGCGATAGTTCACTGTCCCTTTCAATATAACTAGAAGGCATCAAATTAATTCAGTAGATGGCAGGTTCACCATAAATGAAAGGAGGTGGTTCTACATTCAGCATGTTATTAATTTGTGAAACTCATTGCTCCTAGATGATATTGATGCTAAAATTTTATGTAGGTTCTAAAACAGACTGGGCAAATTTGCATAAGAATTGTCCATCAAGGGCAAGCATAATAAAGATTCCAAAGAGAGGTGTCTCTTTGCTGAGGAAGGCACCCAAGGGCTGGGGAAAATATTTTTGGGGAGGTATAGTTGTGCTGTTACTGTATTACTATCTACTTCTCAAAGTGCTGGCTTCTGTCAGAAACAGGTCACTGAGCTGGCGGCTAGACTGATACGGACGGGTTTTATTTTTTTCCCCAAGTGCTGTGATAGCTCGGGAGCCCCTTCTCTGCTTCCTAAGAACTCTAAGTGCTTAAATGTAAAGTCATAAAAAAATTAGAGTAGTGCATCCTTGCTACTTTGTGCAACTTGTCCTGTATCAATCAAACAATAAACCTGGAACCTGATATGTAATTTTCAAAAAGCTTGCATGACAGTGTCTAATCAAACACAGTACACAATCAAATGTATGTGGGGGAATACGTTTTTGTTAATTAATTCGTGTAAATCACCAATATGTTACAATTTAAACACATTTTAGTAAATGAAATATTTCAACTGCAGTGGTCTGGACCTCGGCAGTTTTGAAGCGAGCCTTGTCAGGAAGGGCTGGCTGATGGGTGTACAGGGGTGCAAACTACCATCAAAGCAAATGCCCTAGGGATAAGTTCTGTCTTTTCTTACGTCTCTTAAACTGGAATCTGTGCCCTTTAAAAAGATGGATTAATGGTCTAAATATTTTCTTTCAGCAAATGCCAGTAATCATTGCAGGAAATGAGCATCAGCAGAAAAAATACTTTGGAAGAATGACAAAGGAACCAATGATGTGTGTAAGTATAACTGCTGCATTGTAGAATGTTCCTAAACCATATTAATCAGTATTACTTCTTTTTTTTGGCCTTTTTTCTTTTTTTCTCTCTTTTTTTTTTTCTAGAGAACACTGACATGTACTCACTACTCACTTTGTTTCGTTAATAAACAGTGCTGTTTACTGAAAGTCAGGGAGTAGCTAATGAGATACATTAAATAAGCAAATAGAAGATATTACTTGGAAAATTGTCCCCATCCTAAGTCACTTACCAAAAATTAATACCTTTTATTTCCCTTTCAAGGGGAGGTTTAGGCATTTAGGAGAAACATGAGGTTTGTATAAGGAGAAACTCGACTTGGATGGAAATTGAACTTCATTTGTTTATTTGTCTCACATCACACCAACTCGCAACATACATGTTCTTAATTCAAGTGGAAAAACTTCATACATTTATCCAAAAGCTGAATTTTCTATTTATTTCCTTGTTCAAGGCAGATCCGTCAAAGACAATCTACTAGATATCTTTTGACATTACTGAACACCATGAAAGTGATTTACAACTGTTTCATTTCTGAGAGAAATACTTATTTTGCAATATATGCTTAGAAGAATAAAATTAAGAACTTTGAAATCAGACAATAACATTTTGCATACAAGAACGTATTTCCTAAGCATTAATTTCCATGTATGTGCTGTGAATAGGTTTCTTTTGTACTGTTAATGAAGCAATAATATCATAAAGACTTACAATACATGGAAAAGGTGGAGAATCTTTGCAAGTTGATCTGAAGTAATTTTATTAGATGTTATGAAATCTTGAATCTTTGAAACTTCCTCTCTTTCGGTCCCTCTCAGTTTATTTTTGGGAGAAAGGATTGTTAACTTATAGATAGAATGTACTATATGGAAGAAATGCATGTGAAACCAGTAAAAATGTTAGCTAAAATAGTACCTGGTTGTTAATTGTGAGGATAAGCTCCATCCCTCTTCTTTGTTTTACACTACGTATTTTTTGCTAACTGATACCAATCCAGATCCAAAAGTTCCTGCAAGCAAAGCCGTTACTGGATTCATTGTGGAAGCAAATAGCCCTGGAACCCAAATTGGAAGAAAGGTGGAGACTTCAGCTCTTAATTGACCTGCCAGGAATCATTCAATTCTAAACCAATAATGCAACAAATTACCATGAAAGACAAAAGATTCCCAGTGAACTGAACGTTTTCATACACTCATGTGCAGTGATCTTTTCATTTTCACAACATACAGAAACTATTCATAAGACAAACTTAATTATAATTTTATTAATTCAGCTAAGGAATTATTCAGAATGGTCTGAATGAGATGACTTTGAACAGCTGCAAAAGAATCTTTGAGAACTATTTTATTGACAAGTGCCAATAAATGTGTAGCGTGCCTTGAAAGGAAAAGAAGCAAGCTGGACAATTCTAACCATAAATATGCACATAGTGAGCTTTAATTTAGCTATTGCTGGTCGAGGAAGAAGCCTTGGAGACACTGGTGCTATTCTCTCTTTTTATTTAAAAAAAAAAAAAAAGTACTATTTTTAGCAGTAGGCAAAACTGGATGTTGAATACTAGGAATTGGAAACCTGAAAAACTCATTTATTTACTTGTAGTACACCCTGTACTGCGTGCATATAAGATTATTTACTTTTTCCACTACCATCTCAAAGGATATAGTTGAACTAGAGAAAGAAAAAAAGACTGATCACAGCCACGGCACTGATTTCCTATAAAGCTAAAGTAAACTGCCCAGCTGAGACAAATTAAGGGCATGCTGGACTGCAAGTGCAATGCTATTACTTGTTGTGTATATGGTAATTTTTAGATGAAGTATTTTTGGGGAAAAAAGCATACTTTAAGTAAACTAAAGAATGAAAAGTTATTGTACCTTTGAATAATCCAATTTAGTTGCACATCTGTAAATTTTCCTTCTCAGGAAATGAATATGGTTCAGCACTGCTCAGATACAAGAGGTATTGTCTTTGACAATGCGAGTCCTGACAGAAAATGTACTGATGCTGAGGGAGCTGGCTTTAAAATCGCAATCGAAGCTTTTGATAAGACCAGACCACCCGTAAGTTATCAGAAATAACTTAGTTATGAAACATAGCGGGAATTTCTAATTTTTTATCCTATGCTGGATCCAATTCCTGTAGCAGCTGGTGCTGTTGGATTAGCAAAAAAAAAAGAGCACTTGATGAAGCTACTAGATTCGCTTTGGGGAGAGTATCCACAGAGGCAGTACAGATTTTTGGGATGGAATGGATTTAATACTGAATATCCTGTAGAAAAACTGATGAGAGATGCTATGATACACTGGGTAAGTGAACTTTATAGTAATGCATAAATTTTATATGAAATAAACTAATGGCTACTTATTTCCAATCATGATGTACACATACCAAAAAAATTAGAATGAAAGCTATAATCCTTCAATTTAAAGTTTGCCCATTCAAATTGGGCAAACTTGCATACAAAAGGCATTGCACTGAACCGACAACTCAACCCACATAAGAGAAATAAATTATGTTTTTTCTTTTTTTTTTTTTTCCTCCATGTGGTAAAACTCTTTGAAATTCTTGAGACTCTTAATTTTGAAGCTTTTGAACTCTTAGAAAAATACACTGTAGAAAAAAATGATCAAAATACCAATGCTTGCTTTGGCATTCTGTAAATAGAGATGGTTTATGTATAATGCTGTTCTTAAAGACCTTCAGTGATGGAAATCCTCTGATCTTTCCTATGTAGCCTGGGCTGGTGCCTCCCTCTAGTTTAGCTTTTCTCTCCGCCTCAGCACTAAATCTGTGTTCACCTTTTTCCTCATAAGTTGCGGGGGGGAGGGGGGACGGTGACGGGTTTGGCTGGGTGTTTATTGTTTCTTTTTCTCCTTTCTTCCTCCAGCCTCTTCATCCTTTGTTGCTGTGCTCTAAACCTGCTGCTTGAAACTCAGGTACCATAAACCAGGTAGAATACTCCAGTTGAGGTATTACCAGCGTTGAGTGTCATGGAAGGATTATCTTACACGTGCTGTGTTAACACGTGTGATACAACCTGGAGTGACTAGCCTTTTTTTTTTCCCCACAACAAAATCCGCTTATATTTACTCATGTTCTGCCCAGAGTCACCTGCAGTCCCCAGGGTTTTTTTCTGCAGCGTTACTGCCAAGAAATTATTCCATGTTATGCCATAATGTTTCTATTAGCATATACTATGCTACACTTCTGTATTCAACACCAATATTTTAATTGTGTTCAGCAAAACCAGTAATCTCTATTGACATTATGACATTAATAGCAACTAGATAAAATATATCAAAGTAGATGATATCAAGAAGGGATACCATGCAGACTGTGACCTGTTATGTTAGTTAGCTGTAACACATCATTCTTAAGATTCGAGGTAGTTAGTATTTCTCTTACAGCTGACTTAAAAATGAAAATGAAAACTATTCTTCTCACTAGACAGGAATTTATTTTTCTCCCTTTAAAGAAAGACAACCACTATTTTGGAACCTAAAGGTTCTTAGAACTAATTGCACTCCTGTGAGTGAGGAAATTGAACTTTCTTATGATTGGCCTTTTTTTCTGTCAGGTTGCATGCTTTTGTGGAGAAAGATGGTGTGAGGGTTAGAACTTTATTTGAAAGCTGAGACTGATTTTACAGGATCCCAGATATTTAGATTTTCCATTACACTGATCCATCACAAATGCATGGCTAAGTAGACTTCTTTTTTCTTTGATTGTTCAGATTAATCAGATTTAGTATCAGATTTTTGGTGGTTTTCTGTTCCACTTAATCCCAGAAAGAATTCAGACACTAGAGTCTTCCAAATGTGGAGTTTTCCCCAGCATTAGAAAAGAAGTTAGCCCTGTGCCACTCAACCCAAGACACCTTTCCTTCAAAATCTTTTCATTCTGTACATTATTAAGTGCTACGTCTGTTCTCCCTGTCCAGACACTCACTTCATTCCTGAATAACAAAGTTGGTACTTTCTAAACATTCTAAATTCAAAAGTGATTGGTTGTTCAAATACAAAATGGGCAAGAAATGAGAATCTCACAATGCAATGTTTTGTCACTATGAAATTAGACGATCAGAACATTATTTATGAGAGTCATTGCTGCATTCTAATACAATTTTATGAGAAGTGTGGCTGGTTTTTATTAATTTTTCTTGTCACATCACTTAAATTGTATTTTGGGTAAGTTGTCCAGTGTCTGAAATACGTTAGTATCTGTACTTCGGTTCCTGCTCCGCGTGTCCAGCTCAGTTGCACAAGGGCCTGCGCTGCTTCTGTCTGCATGTGTCTGTTGTCAGGATTTAGGTGCTGTCCAGTGGTAACAATATTGGCTTCAGAGAACGTGGCCTTTTGCGCTGTTACACTCACTAAAGGAAGTAAACGTTTGATTAGGATGGTTCACTTCAAGTGAAAGTGTGTAGCTTTTCCTTAATACCAATTTACAAGATCACGTTTATTTCTAATCCAGTATATTTAAACCTTTTACTCCTTTCCATCAGTGTATATACTTAAGAATATTTGCAGCAAGAACAGCTGAGAAGAAGGAATTGTGAGAGATTTTTTTTTAGCCTTGGATAGACCCTTCTTGATAGTGCTGGCAGAGCCGACGTCCCCTGGGCCTCTTGAACAGATTCCTCGGCACCGGTGACGCTGTACCTGCAGGATCGTGTCCCAGTCTAGGCTCCCCAGCACAAGACAGACCAGGACTTAACTGGAAGAGTCCCAGCCCAGGGCGACAGGGATGATTATGGGCCTGGAGCATGTGTCACGTGAGGAAAGGCTGAGACTTCAGCCTGGAGCAGGGAAGACTCAGAGGTCATCTCGTGTGCGTGCATGTAGATACCTGATGGGATGCAGGGAGGAGTGGGGAGCCATCCTCTCCTTGGCAGTGACCGCTGACAGGACAAGAGGCAACAGGCACAAATTAAAACACAGGAAATTCCACTGGAACATAAGAAAATGCTTTTTATTATGAGGGATGTCATACATCAGCAGAGGTTTTGGGGTCTCTATCTGTGGAGATACTCAAAACTCAATGATGTGGTCCTGGACAGCCCTGGCTGACCCTACTTGGGCAGGGGGGTTGTGCTCCATGATCTCCAGAGGTCCCTTCAAACCCCAACAATTCCGTGAATTAATCTGCAATTTCTCACCAAAATGTCTTTTCCTCGCTGTGGTCTCTTTCATCCATCATCTGAATTTAGTGCTGGATGGCACAATTACAGTCATCAGGTACCAGCTTTGCAACACTTACTTCTCAGGTAGGCCACCTGGGAAACAAGGTCTTTAAATAAAGTGTTTAATCACTATAAATCACCAACCTATTTACCTGCAGGAAGACCAATAATGTAACATCCTTGATAAGTACTTGACACACGTAAAAAATAGATCTTATTTGTGACAGTTCTCTGCAAGCCAGCATTACACATAGTATTTCTTGTACAGAATCAAAATGATGTTCCTGCCTGGTGTGGTTCTGTGGGGGACGTGTGCCAGCATCAAATGTTGTTAATCAAGAGCATCATCACCCCAGACAGCTTTAACTGGGAAGCAAAGGAGGTTTTAGGAGCAAAAGGCCAGTTATCCGTACCTGCTCTGTGCCTGATTGCATTTCACCTCCAAAGAACCGAGGTGACCGGAGGAAACTGCGGCTGTTTCTAACGCTGCCCCGTGTGCCGTCCCCCAGCACCGCCGGGGCTCCCGCGCTGTCCGGTGACTCCCTGGCCTGTTCTAAGACACCCTTTACCTGTGCCCGGCCCGAGCCCCGGCACACCAGCGCACTCGCAGGCCCCGGCCCCGGCCCCGGC